TACAGAAATGAATAACACCAGATGGACCAAAATTGTTTTCACAGAATTGCACAAGTCGTATGTAAACAACCGTAAGCTTACTTGGAATTGGCCAACATATGTGCACAAAGTACTTGAAACTAACGGATTAGACCATGTCTATGGGTTAAACATACCTAACAATATAAACTGGCTCAAAAGCTTTTATAAAATAAGTGAACAAAATGAAGTAAAAACGTTTGCAGATCAAATATCTAATATGAAATCACTGGAACATTACAGTTGGGTTAAAAGAAATAAGGAAAAAGAAAACTATATAAATGATCCCCTTGATCATCATGGCATATCACTGTATTTTAAAGTCAGATCTAACTCACTGGATTTAGAGGGTAATAAAATAACATGGGACAAATATAAAGGGAATGGAATGTGCAAGCTATGTAATGACGACAAAGAAGATATTTATCATTTTCTATTTTTATGCAAAGCAACTTATCATTTAAGACACAAATTTTATGGAGATTTCATGTACAAAGTTCAAAACCTTGAAGTAGACCCAACACTTATTAATAACTTTCTTTCTGGAGGAATTAATTTTAAGTTTAATGTACTTTTTAGCGACATATTGTGGAAAGTCAACAATAATTTGGGGAATAATGTATCCAAGGAAGTTAGAGTATTTATTACTCAATTGTATAAGTATAGAAAAGAAAGTTTGAATTTAATGTGATTTTTCTTCTTTCCTTTTTCAAATATGTATGATTTGGTTGTTTTCTTCTCTTTGTTTGCCGCTCCAAAGGCTAATAAAATATTATTATTATTATTACCGCTTACTGTTTTACTTATCTGAACACGTGATAAATGCTTACGTTCCATCCCTATATGAACATTCTCTCCGATGTGTAATTTGAATAAAATGTGTAACAAGCGACCTCATGGCCGAAATAGCTCGCTGTCCTACCGTACGAAAACATTGTGCCACGATAGCCAAGTTAAAGCGGGAGGGTCGTCACCTGCGCACGCGTGGGAATCAAGTCCAAAGCGACAATAACAACACACGCTAAAAACGCAAAGGCTCATAGGCCCACTCCGGGTACCTACATTTCAAATACCAAAACCATCAGGCTAGCAGTCGACAATATTTTTTTTTTTTTTT